GTGGTGGAGGGTGTCCCTGCCCATGGCAGGGGGGTTGGAATTAGATGATCTTTGAGGTTCCTTCCAACCCAAACCATTCCACGATTCTACAAGTTCCTTGGAGGTAACCATGAAATTGTTGGTAGCTTGAATATTTGTTCATTGTTGAAAGATACTTCATAAGGCTGTGGCATTGATTTTTTCCTGTTGCTTTTTTTTTTAAATTATTATTTTTTTTTAAAATCAAGAAGCATACATAACTTTTAAAGACCTCAACGTTTATGGTGAACTATCAATGCCTGTTCTTTCCCTTTATCATACCACCATTTTGGTTAGATGAGATATACCTGCATATTAGTCATCTTATTTGACTATGCAATCACAATCTTGACAAAGCAAATAATCAAAATTGCTTATTTTTTAAAAAAAAAATCAAAGGTGCTGTCAATTTTGCATGGTTTTCCACATCCATAAATATTATATCAACATAAAGGAAAAAAATATGAAAATCTATTTTTTATGGATTACTCTAGTATTCTACTAATATTCTATTTGTAACTTCTAAATGATGTAATTAAATTTTATAATTATCTCTTTCTAAAGACAGAATTCTTACTACTTATTGCAGCTGCCCTCAAGAAAAAAAGTTACATTGATACAATGCAGTTATCTACATTTGCTATTTTTTAATTATTCATTCATTTACCTCTCTGGACACTGATGGAAAAATGCTGTTATCTGCTGCAGTAGAACTGGCCAGCAACCAGGCCTGTTTTCAAGGACACTGATTAATGGATGAGGAGTGTTCCTGAAACATAAAGAAATTACATTTGAATCTATAATACAGAAAGTGAACGTGCAAAATAACTATCTTCAAAATAAAAGTAGTTGTAGAAACAGACAAATTAACCCCTTCATATTACCAACTCCCTTTACCAGCTTTGCCAAGACTGCTACACTGTCAAAAGGGCACATTTTACAGGAACTTCAGGAAACAAGATTAAAACAAAACCTCTATTCGAAAAGTCTTGGTCTGATTTTTTTTTTTTAAATAAATGTCTAAGGATCACTGTTCAAACATGTGGCCTGATTTGAGTCCTTGGTAGCAGAACCAGGCTGTAGCAGTGGGCTCCAAATAATACCCACAGAAAAAATCTGAACCACAAAGTCACACATCAGTCCATCTTTCAAGCATAGGTACGAACCTTCAGCACCTGAGACCAACTGAGATGACCATCATCCCATTTACCACTTTAAATCTGCTTCCAACTTATTTATTTATTTTTCCTTTTTTTTTTTTTTTTTTTAAGAGGCAGGAAAGGAGGAAGGCTGGCCATATCACCAGCCTAGAGACCTCCTCTCCACTGCCAGCTGTCTGATTTTGGTTGCATTTGAAAAGGTCACTGTGGTCTAGTAGTCACCTGTTCTTCTCAGAAGAATCAATCACCAACACCTTCCCCACCTTCAAAGGCAATGACTGAAGGCCATCTACACGGTCTAGAAGTGTGATGCTCGCATCAAACAGTGACTAGCCTTGTACAGTAGCAGGTGGAGGAAAAGCTGGGCAGGAAGGGAGCCTGAAGCATGTAATTTATTCTCTCAGAAGCAAAATCAAAGTCATTCAACTAGAGCGAGTTGGCATAAGAAAGCAAAACAGAATATGAGAGTCCAAACATTAAATTTCCTGGAGAGGTGGGAAATCAGAAAGAACTGGTGATGTGAAGGCATCACTACCTCCATCACCTCCTTCTGGAGTTTACCCACTGTCCTTGCTATGACTGGCCCTCTTATTTCCACCTGCTGGCTAAGTGTCCTTATTTCCCCCAGTTTGCTTTCCTGCTTCAGCCAACTACAAGCAGAGCAGTGTAGATTCCTCTCTGGGACACAAACAGCTTAACACTAGGCAACCAGATACCTCCCTGCCCTCAGAGCAGAAACAACTTTCCTAACAGCAAGAGAGGAAAGTTGGCCTTGGGAAGGCTGCTGTTAGGTCCCCTCCACCTGGTCTCTTCTCCAGCCCAAACATGTTTAATTCCCTCAGCGAGCAGTGTGTGCTTCAGCCCTGTGACCACCCTAGAGGCCTTCCAATAAACTTGCTCCAGTTTATCACTTTTCTTGTACTGAGGGTCTCAAACTGGACATAGTACTCTAGATACCACCTGGCAAGCGTCAGGGAAAAAAGCATAATTGTTTCCCTCAATCTACAGGCTATGCGTCTACTCTGGTGCCCATCTTTCAAGTCAGTTATTAAAAATCTGCAGAAGTTTAATTATTCTCATGGCTGTCTCATGAAGGCCTAGAAAAATACATCTCTCAGTGTAAGTACAAGCTAACAAGGATTAGATTAAGGGATAGGATCATTGCAGCTTAAGTACCTTCATCAAGAACGGAAATTTCATACAGCAAGAAATGCCAAGAGACTCAAGAATGAGAGGTTAGTAACTGAAACTGGCAAATTCAGAATGAAAAAAAGAGGATGTATTTTCACTGAGGAAGAATCAGTCACTGGAACCATTTATCAAGCTCAGAAAATAGTTTTTGGTACGTTTTTTTTTTTCACTGGATTCTTCCTCTGCTCCTCAAACAATTTTTTTTTCCAAAGAGGTGTGTTTCTGTTCAGACAAATAAATAACTGAAGACACAGGGACTTTCAGAAAAGCTGGCTGTTGTGATGAACTTCTTGAAGCATGTTCAGAAAACAGATGCTAACTAAGCGCACAAAGTGTGCACATGTTACAGGTCTGGCCTTCATATTTGGAGCTAGAAGCCTGGCACTTCCCACATTAATTTCTCTAAAATTTGTTAACATACATACATGGTCTTCATATGTCCACATTACTTGATTCTGTAAACATTTTAGTAAAGTTACAGAGTCTTTTACAATCTGTGTACAAAGACTAGAAAGGATAAGGTTATTGTCTCATTGTAACTTTCAAAGATGACAGGATGCAAGAGGCAAAAAACTTGTTGCCTGTCTAGCATGTCAATCCAACAAGACTACAGACAGGATCATCTACTAGGCAGCAAGCTAGCAATACTGTTCACATACCATGCCAGCACCTTGAAAATGCACAGCTCTGTATAGACACATAGAACTATAGCAGCTGCTTATTTCCACATCTTTGTCATGTTTTAAGAATTAATTACCTTTTCTAATGAGAACAACGTGTCCCCAGTGATCTAAGTGCTGCTATGACACTGAAGTCAGTGGAACCTTCATGAAGTCAGCACATGTGACACACCGAGTCTAAAATTAAAATGGCTTATTATCCAGAAAAAAAGCAAGCCTTCTATGACAGATTTTTTGTGCTCTGAAATTTAATATAACTGCATTGAAATCTAATAAAACTGCATGATGAAAGATATCGGCTAAGCTCTCCATTGAACAGTGACTGACAATGAAACAACAAAACACACAGCCTGAAAAAGATTCACTGGATAATGCCATTAGTGGCAGAAAAATAAGGCACGTAGATCCAATTTTTTTTGACAGCAGTAACTTAAGAATTGCTAGCACAGCACTGTAAAACACATATCTTTAAATGACATTACAGTGCCACTACCCTAAATTATTGCCAGTGGGTTCAGGATAAAGCAAAATGCACAAGCAGATACAGCAGCTATCCACCTGTAAACACAAAAGTGCCCAGGGAAACAAAGATAAATATTACGTGAGGGGCAACAACAAAACAAAAATTATTTTTAACTTTTAGGTCATCTCAAACTTTTTGTTACAGCTCTGAACACAAGAGAGCTCCAATCTGATTTAGAGCACAAATTCAGTCACAGATTGCATTTTCTGTGTAAGGAAACAACGTCTGCAGTCAACATACTTTTCTGCATGTGCAGCTGTGACCCCGGCCCTTTCAGAAAACTGGAACAGCACTTCACTCCATCAAACACACATCTTTAAAGCATTTTCCTACCTGCTCTGAATTTTGATTTCAGAAAATTGGCAGCTCTCCAGAATTTTAAGATAATAAAAACCATGCATGGCGAATCATTAAGAATAATGTAAAATACTAGTTCATTAAAAAAAGTTAATAGTCTTCCAGCAAAAATTTATAGCCAAACTTCTGTACATGCACGTCATGACTCACTTGAACTGAGAATGCTGACAAGCGCTCTTCAAAAACCCTCCTGCCTGCCCTCCCACTCAATTCAGTGTGAGCTTAGGTCACTGGACAGCTATATTACTATACTACTATTACTACTATTGATAGCAAGTTCGCCGATGACACCAAGCTGTGTGGTGCTGTCGACATGCTGGAAGGGAGGGATGCCATCCAGAGGGACCTCGACAGGCTGGAGAGGTGGGCCCGTGCCAACCTCATGAAGTTCAACCAGGCCAAATGCAAGGTCCTACATCTGGGTCGTGGCAATCCCAGGCACAAATACAGACTGGGCGGAGAATGGATCGAGAGCAGCCCTGAGGAGGACTTGGGAGTACTGGTGGATGAGAAGCTCAATATGAGCCAGCGATGTGCTCTTGCGGCCCAGAAGGCCAACCGCATCCTGGGCTGCATCAAGAGGAGCATGGCCAGCAGGTTGAGGGAGGTGATTCTTCCCCTCTACTCTGCCCTCGTGAGACCTCACCTGGAGTACTGCATCCAGTTCTGGAGCCCCCAACATAAGAAGGACACGGACCAGTTGGAGAGGGTCCAGAGGAGGGCCACAAAGATGATAAGAGGGCTGGAGCACCTTTCCTATGAGGACAGGCTGAAAGAGTTGGGGCTGTTCAGCCTGGAGAAGAGGAGGCTCCGGGGTGACCTTATAGCGGTCTTCCAGTACCTCAAGGGGGCCTACAACAAAGATGGGGAGAGGCTGTTCAGGAGGGCCTGTTGTGATAGGACAAGGGGGAATGGTTTTTAAATAGAGGGAGGGAGATTAAGATTGGATATTAGGAAAAAATTTTTTACCATGAGAGTTGTAGAACACTGGAACAGGTTGCCCAGAGAGGTGGTGGATGCTCCATCCCTGGAGACGTTCAAGGCCAGGTTGGACGAGGCCCTGAGTAACCTGATCTAGTTGGAGATATCCCTGTCCCTGTTCCTTGCAGGGGGGTTGGACTAGATGACCTTTGAAGGTCCCTTCCAGCCCTAACCATTCTATGATTCTATGATTCTATGATTAATACGCAGAGGAAACAGGCAACTTTATGCCAGATGAGAGATAATAAATCCACTGGGAATGCTCAGCTCTAGTCCACAGTGAGACCAACTTGCAGACTACCTCCGCTGCAGGTGGTTCTAACTTTGTTAGAAAAAGTGCCTATCAGCCCATGTGTTAATTCATAAAAATCACATCACTTTTTTCACATATCCTTAAAAAACCCCAGCATATTTGTTTTGGTATTTATCCACCATTGGAATACAAGTTATTAAAAAGAAAAAGAAAAAACAGCCAGTGGTACTCACATAGCTTATGGAAACAATTAGGAATCCCAGAATTCAGTGATATATAAGGTAGTTTTCTGCCAACTTACTAGGATAAAAGGAACATTTCCCACTTTCTGTAGGAACTCCACTCTTTTCCAAGGTTAACTTGCTTACAAAAAGTGGAGAATCCCAGCATTAAAATAGAGAGGCTTCTCCAGATGAAATCAGAAAACCTATCCAGTTGTGCCACCAGGTGCCCACCAAGCTGCTCTCCCACTCTACCTTCTCAGCAGGACAAGGAGAAAATGAGATTAAAATCTCGTAGGTCAAGATAAAGTCAGTTTAATAAAGAAAAGCAAAGGCCATATGCAAAAGCAAAGGAAAACAAGACAACTGATTCTCTACTTTCCATCAGCAAGTGATGTTCAGCCATTTCCAGGGAAGAAGGGCTTCAGTACAGGTAGCGGTTGCTTCGTAAGTCAAACGCCTTAATGATGAATGCCGCTGTCGACTCCTTTCTCTTAGCTTTTACTGCCAAGTATGACATCACATGGTATGAAATACCCCTCTGGTCAGCTTGGGTCAGCTGTCCTGCCTATGTTTCCTTCCAAAGTCTTGCCCTTACTGAACTTACTGAACTTGGAAGGGGTCGGAGTGGGCTGGAGAGGCAGCACTGCCCAGTAGTAGCCAAAACACTGGTGTGTTATCAATGCCGTTCTAGCTGCAAACACAAAGCATGGCACTATGATGGCTGCTAGGGGAAAGCTAACTCCATCCCAGACAAACAAAACACAACATAACCAGGCAAAACCTCCAAAACTGCAGGACTTATTTTCTCCCATTTCTTCTCAGGAACTGTTCATGATATTACATCATCACAAGAACCAGTATTATAGAAGTGATTTTACTGTCCAGAATTAACATTAGTCTAAATCAAATACACTTATTACTCTGTAATACTAATTTTAAAATTTCCTAAGACAGACGACAATAGCAAGCTACTTGAGAACATACTGCTGCTTTTTGAATCTTCACCATATGGAATACTTTTGCATCGTTTACAGCATAACGTATGAACACTGTAACAGGAGGTTACCACTGCTGAGTTATTGTAGACATTCTTTTATTTCTTCCAGAAATCAAGTTCTAATGGCACTTGATAGAACAAAACTACAAAAATTCTTACGTAACAAGCCTTTGAATTGACAGGCCTTTCTGCACACGAGAAACCAAAAGCCAAATGTCAAAAATCACAGGGCCTTGACCTACAAGGCATTCAAAACTAAGTCAAACAATTTGACATCTCTCTTGATTAAAGTCAACTGGAAGCAAAAGGGAAAACAAAAAACCATATTGGCTAAGTTTGCTGCTTAATTTCAATTCTCTATTACTTCACTTCAAACCATTCTGAATTTCACCTTCCTTGTATGTTACCAGCAATTTTTCTTTTGGAATGGAAGAAGTAATAATCTTTCTTCACCTGACTGGAGAGAGGCTCTTTCTTTATTCCAGCCACATCCTGCTACCCTCTTTTTCACAAGGAGCCTGGATTAAGTCACTCGAACTTAGCTTCTTCTAATAGGAGACTTTAAACAAGTTATTTTACTACTAAAGAGAAAGTTTCCAAAAGAATTCCATCTTACTATCCTTCATTACCTGCCTTTTCAATAAAAACTGTTCTATAATAGTGTGAACTTTGTAGAAAGAACTGATATAGTTAGAAAAACAAAGGCACACAAGATCCCAGGAATGTAAGTGCATTCATCACTGCAAAGTCTGTTTCACTTTCCTTCAATATTTAATTTTGCTTATGCAAAGATATGATTCCTGTCTTCCAAATAGTGTATTTTATATCCTTAAAGCATTATAGCTACAGCCTGCTACAATGATATCTCTGAACTGCACAAAAAGCAACTTAAAAAGTGTTCATGAGATCTACCAAGCTGGGATCTTCTCCAGAAAAAGATACAATAGTCGTTTATATCAGCACTGACTCATGGTTCTCAAGAGCCGGAAGAAGTCACTAATGTGTCCCTTTAGGAAGGCTGCTATTGCATGACAAGCAGCTTTATATGAGTAGGTCTGGATGCTAAATAATTTATTTTTACATGGCAGCCACTTAAACAGTAAAAGCATTCAGGAACCCTACTTCGATAACAGGAATAAAGCAGGAAAGACAAGTGAGAGGGAAGCAGTCCACAGTCTTAAAAGAAAAGACTTATTAAAAGGACCATTAGCAATCATCCAGCTACTGCATTTGAACAAGTCTCAGTATTTATTTATTCTTTCTCAAGCACAGCCTTCATGTTGCCATTGCCCCTTTTGAGCTTATGGTGGCAATCTTACCTCTGTACTATAAAACCTCTTAAAACTTTCAACCAAAGAAAATAATCACAGAATCAGAGAACTGTTCAGGTTGGAAGGGAGCTCCTCAGATCATCTGGTAAAACCCATGCGCTCAAGCAGAGTCAGCCAGTGAAGGCTGCCCAGGATCACATGCAGTCAGGTTTTCATATCTCCAAGGATGGAGATTCCACAACCTCTGAGGGCAACCTGTGCCAGTGCTTGATTACCGGAACAGTTAAAAAATACAAAAAAAAAAAAAAAAAAGAAGACAGACTGAAAGCCAGTATCAACACTTAATCTATTTTTTTTTTGGGAAATCAGACAAAAAGTTATTACAGAATCGAAATAAAATCAACATGAAACTAACCTGATTCCATACAGATTCCAAACAGCCTCATCTCCATCTTTTCCCAGTTGAATAGCTTGAATTTGTAGTAATTTCGAAATAGTTTTTACTAAACCATGCACATTCCTGTTGACAAAAAGAAATAAATTACTGTCATATATGTAGTGATATTAGTTGATTCTTCCATAAGAGAAGGAATCCAGGAACAAACATTGATGCTCAAGAAATCTTGAGTTCTCCTTAAGGACCTCCTCACATCTGCCTACACAATTTTGGACAAGTTCTGCATCCACATGTCTTTGTTTTCCTTTTCACAAAATGAGCAAAACAGCAGAGAGAATAATTAATGCATCAATTAAAACTTTTGATTGTTTGCTTCTACCATATCTTAAACGTGCTGTCCCCAGCTTAACTGAAACTGGTGCTTTTAATATGTCAAAAAAGGAAAATTAACTCTTCTCTGAATGCAAATATATAAGTAAACATCCGCCATGATACACAAATTTCAACCGTGCCACTATCTAGCAAGAGAAATCACGTTGTCAGAAAAGACACTTTAGACATCTAGTTTGTGCTGACTTTTGATCTCAGAAGCCAAGGACTAGACAGATACAGCTACTTTATCTCCCTCTTCCTACTCTGTTTAATTTACCATTCAGGAAAACTCAAGAAACCACTGTATTTGTGGCATTTTGATAGGATTTACTATATTCTCCTGGAGACACAACAGAGAAACTAACAGAGTCCACCACAAGGGGGAAAAAAAGCTCCGTGACCATGCAGTAAAGAGATCAGGAAGCCTAGAGCTTATGACTGCTTGGCTGAGATTAAAAGGACAACTTTCAAAATTTGGCTCTCCTCTTCATAATTAAGTGCTTTCCACACCTTTCCAACTAAACCATGCCAGATCTAATCCCAGCCCTTCTCAAGAAAACAGCCTGGGTTCTACAACAAAACACTCTT